GTTGCTCATATTGCTATGGTATGGTATAATATCTACTAACCGAGCATCAGCTCAAGTTGATGCTCATCCTAACCCTACGGTTAGAAGGGCATGTATGCATGCTATATATAATCCCAGTGGGAAATTCCGACAAATGTCGCAAGTCGCCCAATTAAATTCAAATATTGTTCATGAAAAAGGAAGAATCGCGATGATTCCCAGGGGGTATTGTATTTATCGACACCGTTACGCCAAATTCATAACTCCTGTTTGTCCAGTCCCCAGATCTCCCAATGCTGCAGCACTTCCCAGCCAACGCGTCGGACACGCCGTCGCCAGTAGCGACCGTCGCGATGAACGACTTGCGGAAGGCACGGGTTCATGCCTGGGTCAGGTGCTTGCTCGTCTGCCGGCTGGATGGCTTCTCCTGGTTCTGTGGTGGGGGTGTCTTCTTCTCGTGTCCGTTTGCCTAGTACTGAAGGTGGGACATGTCCATCTCGCTGCGAGGGCACCATTGCATTATGGCCGTTGGCTGTTGGGGAGGGTCTCTCGGCTGGTGGGCTCTTGTCGTAGCCTACGTTGGCTTCTGCGCTGGTGGCGCGTGAGCCCGTGGGTGTCTGTAGCTGGACGTGTCCGTGGTTTTCGGCCTGCTCGGCTGGCACGGTGTAGTAGTCTCCTAGTTGGAAGCCCTTGCGGCCCAGGCCAATGACCTTCAGCCGGTGGAAGATTTGCTGGTCTGCAAGAGATTCGCTAAGCATCGCGATCAAGGTGTCGTCGTCGGCTTCCACAATGTCGGAGAGCGTCCGGGCGGCAGTGAGCGCATTGGTAGACGGAGAGAAGTATTTGAAAGTCTTGGGGGGCGGCCCAGTACGAGCCGTCCCGGATGGTGAGGTGCAGGTGGGAATGAGGAGACGCAACGCCTTTAGATTTCGGAGGAATGGAAGAAGAAGCCCCAATGCTTCCAGACCGGAGAATTCTGTGGCGAAGCCAAGCTGCTCCAATTGCGGACTGGCGTGGACAAGGCGCGCGACCGTGGGTGCAGATAGGGGCCAGCGAGCGGGGAGTAGTAGATGTCGTAAGGTGGCTGCATGATTCAGAGTGATGTTGTTTAGGTATACGTCCCGGACGCTTGTTTGCAAACCGGGGGAGTTAGTTGCAGCGGCAGAGCAACTGGTGGAAGTACCATTAGTAGCGGGTTGAGAGGTGTCAGACGAAGGGGGAGAGAGTGCGGCAGCAGAAGTCAGAGGTCGAGGGGAGTTGATATCATCGTTGGGATTATGAGTGGCGTTGACGAAGTATAACCGTTCCAGACCGGTAAATTGGTTTAGAAATTGCGCATGTCTCTTGCTCACGGCATCCTGCCGAATCGATTTAATACGAATGGGATGAGCCGGCATTGTGGGCCAGGTGCTATCCACGAAAGTGTTCATCGAAAGATCCGCGCCACCGTGCTGGAGGATGGTCACGTCTTCTACAGTGGTACCATTCACGGCGAGACCGAAATCCTCCGTGTGCAAAGCGTACAGGTTCTGTAGGCCAATCTTCTTGATTGAAAGGGGTTGTTTCGCGGCGATGCATTTGCGGAAGTAATCGTGAACCATGACACTAGGCTCCTGCGCATTGCGCATGCGGGGAGACCAATGCATGTTGAGCTCGCGTAGCTTGCGACACTTGAACACCAGAGTGGAGATGTCATCCGGATAGCAAAGCGGATCAATGTCGGTAACCTTTAGATACCGCAGATGTGGCATGGGTGGAATCACGATGGTTGGGCGGGGATGTCGACTCGAAGGAAAGCGAATAGTCAAGGCCGTCAGCTTAGGCAGCTGCGCCAGCCCAAGATAGACAGTTTCCAGCATTTTGGTATTGAGTTCCCAGCTAAAGCTTTCCAGTTCCGTCATCCGATCGACCGCCGCACGCACCGCAATGTTCAGCATCATCGACGAGTCCGGCACGCGACCCACGCGCGCATGTTCCTCGAGCTCGAGCTCCCGCCAGTTGCCTCGAAGCGTAAGCGACCGAACGAGCGTAGCATAGGGACGGGTGATGATGGCGTTGAGACCCATGGAAAAAGGGCTGGCGCTACCCATACCCTCGGGTTCATCGTCGCGATATCGGATTTTGTCATAGGAGGTCAAGGTGATGTGTTTGTAGAGCTGGGGGAGAGCCATGTAATTGAGAACGCGGCATGCTCGACAGAGACGGGCGAGATCGCCGGGATCATCTACCTGCAAGAGAGCACGAGGTGGTTAGTGGGTTGCACAAGCTCCATCCATGAGAGCAGTAGCTAGACGAACGTAAGAGACGATGACCGCGATTAAGTTGAGTGGTAGGATCATTAGCGGAGCGCCCTGGGGGCGATCGGTGGTGACGCTGGCTTCAAACATGTTCCGGTTGACAGCCGCCATGATGCGACGCCCAGGGGCGATAGGGTCGCAGCATGGACTGGGGAAGAGACAAGGGGGGATGGAGATAAGCCAGGCGAGACATCTATCAGAGGGACAGAGGCTCTCCGACTGGGGCGGGATGAAGTCGAAGTAACTTTCCGATGAGGATTATCGCGGGATGGCAGATGGCGGAAACTCTTCGATGTTCCACTGCTGAGTCAGGATCCCGTCTCCTCTTTCTTTTTTAAGGTCATTAAAGTTAATTAAGACCTCAAGTGAATTTATTTCCCTCTCCCTCTTCTTCATCTGCACAATTGGTTCAAATTGAAATAGAAATAACATCCCTGCCAGTTTGACAGATGTGAGGTGGGCGATCACACGTGGTGAGAAGCAAGGAGGATAAGTAATTGAGTTGGCACATTGACTCCCCTCCACCTGATAGGAACTATACTATGGAGACAGCAGGTACAACATCCAGATTACTACAAGAGCATATGCTGTGCTCGGAATTTCCCTCTTATTGTATCCTACAGTCTGGGGCTCAATTGTGAAACAATCAGATCCCTGCTCTATTGTCCTGCTGCCGGTCATATCAAGGTTAAACAAATGACTTGCATATTCCAAGCCTCGCTTCTAGAATGATGACAACGGCGAACCCATCTGTCAGATTCGGGGTATATATTGACTTTGTGCGAAGGTAGATCGTATTGGTACCAATAAGTACCACCTAACTAGTACTAGTATTCTCTTGAGAAATGCAACGATGCCAACGAAAGGGAGAAGTACTAAGCAGGCCACCCATGCTGTATACTACTCGCAAATCAACTAAACAATTACAACATATCAGCATAACACACAACTCCCCAACTAACCCAGCTTATTCCACTCCCCAATCGTAAACTGCGAATTACACATATTCGTCAACTCCCAAGTCTCCGCTCCCAGCACAACCTTGCTCCCTTCATCCTCCCACTCCCCAACAGCGCCCGCCACAAACAACGCCGCCATGAAATGATCATCCGTAGCATGCGCATCCCTATACTCAGGATGCTTCATCAACCTCGTCATCGCACGCCTCATCTTCGGCCCACCAGAACACTTAACCATAACATCCTCGACCGCCTGACGAAACTCCAACGCCCAGTCCTCCGGCGGCGTCTCCATCGCAAAGGTATCACGGAAGCGCAGCATCGGCGCCCACCGATTCCGATAGAGGTTGTGCACGGCACCGCCGGTGCCGATGATGAGGTAGTTCTCGCGACGGAGATGGCGCAGCGTGGAGCCGACTTTCATGTGGTAGTGGGGGTCGTAGCGGGCGTTGGAGGAGATGAGGGTGGTGGGTGGACAGGCGGCAGGAAACATGCGGATGAGGATGAGGTAGACGTCGTGGATCCATTCGAAGGTGTCGTTGCCGGAGGCTTTGAAGCCGGCTTGGTTGAGGAGGGAGATGCATCGGTGGGAGGTGGGTAGGTCCGGGTTGAGTTTGTAGTCGACGTATTTGGACGGGTGGACGTAGGCGACGGGGCTTTTGCCTGGGTTAGGGTTCGTGGAGATTTCGATGCCGTCGCCGTGGCAGGCCCAGTGGGCGCCCTGGTGTTGAGTTTAGTGGCGATGCTAGATGAAGATGGGGAAGAAGGGGTGATGATGTACCATGATGACCACGCCTTTGATGCCTTGTGCTAGGGCTTCGTCGCCGCATTTCTTCCAGTAGTCGGCTGAGGTGGACTCTTCGCCGAGCATCATGGTCGAGCCATGAGAGAAGAAGTGGACGGGTGTTAGTCCTATACGTCGTAGTTACTTAGTATGCGCTGCATAGATCCACTGTGGGAGTACGTACCCATGTTGGTGTCTTCTTAGTGTGCTATGTAGTTAGTGTTGAATGACAATGCTAAATATTCGGCATATACTAATGCATCCTATAATAATGTCGATTAAGTCTGCATGCTGATGCTAGTCTGGTTGGATGCAACACGGGCACTTATACAAAGCCTCATGTCGGGACCATCGGGTCGGCGGACCACAAACCGAGAGGTCCATCCGAACAGCGCAACTCCGGCCCCCGAAAGCATTTCCGGGGTTAAGGTGGTCCCCACAACTGGGGAAGAAATATACTTTGATCATCTCGTAACGTGTGGGGTTGCTGAACCTGCCGGGGTTGCCGGCATTCTCGACTCGGTGGCAACTGGGATGTTCATCACAGCTTACTCTTTTACTATGCCCATACTTAAGACAGCAATATGTCGCATTAATATGCCATAACAACATGTATAAGAAGGAAAGATCAGTGATATATGCATCCCAAGGGTATCTTTGTACAACAACAACAGTGCAGTCGCCTGAGACATGGAGGGCTCCAACCAACCCAGACCAGTCTATGCATACACCCGTGCCCAGCCCAGCCCAGCCCAAGCCCTGATTAAACCGAACATTGAAGAAAGCAAGTAAAGCAAGTTTTGACCCGGAAGAAATAGTGTCAGAAAAGAAAACTCCAGTAGTAGACCATCCGGCAGCACCCAAGATCTCCAATACTCCCCGCTAAAAAATCAGACATCAGCGGCAGAAAATGCGAAACAGAAGCTAAATGGAGTGTTTTGAGACAGGAAGACGCAGGCAGTCACACGTTACGCGTGAACGTCACTGCTGGCCATGTGGCCCTCGTGATTCTTCAGGAGCCTCATCTGGAAGAGGCTGGGTTGGTGATATAGGTGCTCTTTCCGTCGGGTCGAGTTCCTGCTCGGATTGTTGGCGCACGGCCGGCCCCCGAGTAGGCTCGCTGACCGAGCCATCGGCGTCCAGCGCCGCCTGAGATTCAGAGCCATGCTCACCAGGCTCCACAAGCGCTGCAGCTTCAGGGTCATATCGCAGCTCATAGTTGCCATGACTGAACCCTTGCCCATCGGCTGCGCTCCATGGAGCGGCAGTTCGTGTTTGCGGCTGAATCACCCTCACAGGCAGGTCATCACGGCCCGGCGGAACACGCTGATTCGAAGTTGTTGTTCGTGAACTAGGCTCGTGATATTGTTGCGGTGACCAGGTCTGTTGACCACGGCGTCTAGCCGGAATAACCGTGACTGGCAAGGGGGAGTCGGAGCCTTGTCGTCCAGAACCAGGTCGCAATCGTCGATGGAAGCCAAACCTAAAATCATGCCTGGCATGTAAGCTGTGCTCATCGTCGCTGTCATCCAAGGAATGATGCTGTGGTTCCACTTGAGCACCTGCGGAATTCCCCTCTTCCTCGGCCTGTGCAGAAGCGACTTCTCTTGGTAAAGATGCCCGCCTTCGCTTGAAAGGATTGAGCAGCGCTCGCCACCTTTTATCCACGTGCACAATTTGAGGGGATTGCTCCCGAGTCTGTTGTTGTGCCAGCGCATCTTGCGCCAGGCCGGCTTGCTGACCGTCGGTGGTCATCTCCTTCGCGGCCACCGCTTCGTCTATGTCTTCATCCTCTTCCTCCATGTGAGGCATGGCCACCGGTGGAGTGGGACTAGAAACCGGATGATAATGTATGTTGTATACCGTGCTGGCCGCGCTGGTTGTGTCAGCGCGACTGACAGGCGTTATAGCTGCTGGGGGAGGAGTTGGTCGGGGCGCCATGCGCCGGCGCCGAGGGTCCATGGGAATGTTGTGCTGTTGGTTCTCGAGGTTCGACTGCCAATTACGACCAACCCTCGTACGCAAAGGTCGATGAGCCAATCCCATCATGCCTCCCCAGCCTGAAGATGTTCCACCGCCTCCGCCTCGATCATGGCCGTCAGGGTTGTAGCGCGGCCAATCGACCTCTTCCGAAGGGGTCACTTCCAACATCTCGTCTCCATCAAATATTTCGCGTCCAAGTATTCCATCCTTCCTTTCATCGCGTTCTAATGCCTCAATCCGCTCCACCCATTCCCAGACCACGACACTCGCTGCTGCCGATCCAACCCATCTAACATAAGTACCCCATCCGGCAATTTTCGGTTTTGCGATATCCAGAACAAAAAACACAACGGGTATAAGAATCGCACATAACGAGAGCAAGGCCACCAGACAGATATTCCTCATTTTCGGATGGAAGAAGGCGAATCGATGTTTCGAAAGCGAGTAAAAGATGACCCAAGCGGCGTACAAAAGGTTGAGAGCAAGTTCGAATAGATAGCTGAGAGCGGGGATCGCGTCCTCGTATAGCCGCGGATGAACGGTGTCGGTCTTAACCAAGAATTTGTCGAGGATACTAAACGTGGTATCAAACACAATTAACGCGAACCCTGCCCACTTGATCATGATTTTCTCCTTATGTCGAGGGAACAGCCGAATCAAAGTCTGAATCTGGGCCAGCCACAGGAAGGTGCTGGAAATGATTCTGACCACCCGGATCTCCATACCGTCGATGACCTCGTCCGCCAGCGCTTCGGCATCGGAATACCCATAATAATATTGCTGTTCAGCCACACGAAAGGAGTCGACAGTCGCAATGGTGAGTGATACCGCGACTAACAAGGCCGCGACCTTTTGCAGCCACGGCCGACCACCCACGCCAACCACCGACGAATTACCACTATACGAACCGCTAATCATACCATGACGTCCGAGAAAGTTTGCACCGCCACCAGGACCCCCAACATAAAACGTCCGCGGCGTGATAAGAAGTATTATAACGAGAAGATAGCTGACAACGGTCGTACAGCCCATGGCATACAACGCCGGGGTAACGGAGGAATAGAAAGGATCGGTGACATCGAGCGCGGCGACCGCATGGGCCGTGGCAGTTGGCGTGCCCGTGCCGGTACAGATGGGATCGTAGATGGCATTTTCGGTCAAGGCGATAGAGTAGGAGCGATTCAAATAGACGTAACCTGCAAAGCAGCCGCCGAAGCGCCGCGTCAGTGTAACCGGACGGAAGCGAGTTTGTTTGACGGGCCGCATTCAGGCCCAGCACGAATCCACATACCGGAACTGGGTAATAGAAAAGGCGTGCAGTCCGCTTCATAAGTCCTGGTGGTCGTTGTCGTTGGTTGAGCCCATATTTGGCGAGGTGTTAGATGAGCGGGTTCCCCCATGGTCGGCGGGGACGATTGATTTCTCCTCGGAGCAGCCCTCAGACCCCTACGAGATGAGTCGTAATGGCTATCATCAATGCCCTTGTCAGAGTGGACCCGTCACATGTGGCCTTTTCAAGCAACCATCATTCCGGCGGGGAAGGGTGGTGCTGGTAGAAGAAGACGGGCGGGACAAGCAACGAAGGGCGCGAGAGTCGAGGCGAGAGCGAGTTGCTTTATCCGATGTTGGACGGGCGGAGGAAGTCGGGGGAAGCTGGGATGAATGGGAAAAGGGGGGGCGGGGAGACAGGTTTCGAGAAGATCCGCGTCGGGGTTTGGTGATCGGACAGAAATCTGGGAGGGATTTGGGGGGAGATGAGGGAGCGAACAACAACGGAGCGTAGGGGAAGCGGTGCTGCGAAAGAGCTGAGGTGGTAAGGGTGGTACACGGGATGATACGTCGTGGAGAGTAGCAGGCGAGGGGGAGGAGGATTTGGCAGCGCAATAGAAAGATCCGCCACCCGCGCGGTCCAGATTGCCGTCGCCAGTTCGGCTCTTCTTGTACACCGCTTGCCAAATCTCCACCTCAACAACTACTTAACTATACTTGTTTCTTTCTACTGTACAGCTATCTTGTTCGAGATTATTGCTAGAGTTTCGGCAATGCAACAAATGACAACTGTCTTTGATGGTGTTTATGTATATACAGGTTGGCTAGACCCCCAATTGTAGGTCCACACCAGCAATCATGACAAAAAATCAACCCGCGATGGGAACCCAAGCATAAGACGAAGGCCACGAGGGAGAATGTTTGACTGACGGTCGATCACATGGAGACCTCAGCCTCCCAACAAAACAAGCATGGTAGTACAGGTGGATGAGAGAGGACCGGATTTACCCAGATCCCATGCACTGCGTCCCCTATTCAGACACCACTTCCGTCGTACAAACATCCCCATTACTCCACCCCCCTTTATAATTCAAGCAGCGATCAGGGTTTCACACCCCACATTCTTCCCCCGGAAAAGCCCCTACAGCCTTCCCATCACCTCGGAGGTGGTCCGTACGACATCTGCGTCGGAGGCAAGTATGGTGATACCAATGCTGCCCCCGTGGCACTGGCATATCTCCCGCGTTCTTCTTCCCGTTTCTTGACCTCGACCTCGTTTTGGATGAGCGTACAGCATGTGCAGCACGTTGCTCGCACGCAGTCGGAGACAATATCCCCTTCAATCTGATAGGCCTTTCGCGTTCGACGGCGCTGGTACGCCGCCAGAAAACCTGCGACAGCTTGTTAGCATACTTTGCCGGTGCTGAAGACTGACGTGAAAGGTGCGCACTTACATTGACAACCACAGAGCAAAGCCATAACAGTGCAGGAGCTATTGCACGTTTCATACCCGAGCATATTTGTTGGGTCTTCATTTCTTGACTTCATAGAAAGTCGATATTGCGTTTTCCCGAATAGGACGCATGGACAGAGTAGCCCGAGACAGCATGACCCAACATCATAGCATCCGCACATGCTAGTGCGCCAAGATCCGCCTTTTATCTCAAGATCTGGGTGAGTTATTTGACCTGGACGATGATATGCCATGAGATCAAATCCTACAGGTGTTGTTGGCGCCCCGTGGGCGACTGGAGGGGGAAACTGAGGTAATTGGGGCGAATGTAAAGGATTCGTGTCTGGTACAACAGCCATAGGCTCTTTTTTCGGTAACGGCTCTGCCATTTCCAGGTCCCTTTTGACTGGGAGAGGGCCTGGGGATTGTGGAGGCTGTGCGTATGAGTATTCGGGCACTTTTGGATTCTGCTGAACTTGCTGGATCTCGTCCGCGTACGGCGCATAGTTGGCTGGATGTTGCTCGAGATTCGGTCCGCAAGGGTAGCCTTGAACGGCCATATCTTGCTGGTACTGTTGCGACTTTTCGTTTAACGGCGGTTGAAAGTGCTCCATGACAGTCTGTGGTTCTGCTGACGGGGCTGCCGCTGGAGGCGTGATCTCATCTGTCAGTCGGCTCCCTGGAGCGTGCATTTCCAATGGAGTTTCCATATAAGAGTATCTCGGATTGGGGCCCAGATTGGCCGTATTAAGCTGCAGTTGTCTGTTCATGTTGGCGGTCGCTTCTGATCCCTGATCGCAAACCCGTAGACCCGTCTACAGCTCCAGACACTATATTCCCAGTGCACAGAGCTTTCCGGCTCTTTGACCCCCCAAGAGAAAAGGGCTATCGCAGGGGTGAAAGGTAATTTCAGATCGCTCAAATGCGGTCGTTCCGTAGGGATCTACATGTACCGGCGAGGCGTAAACCCTCCGCTCGCAACCCGGAGGAGAGAAGCATCAATAAGCAGCACAGCACAGTGAGTGTGCGAAGATGAAGTTCTTCAACATTCAAGTAGTAATAACCAAGTCACCAAATCCAGAACCAAAGAAGAACAAAAAGGAAAGCGAAACAGAAAAAAAAAATCCAGAAGCACAACCCACAACCACCAGGACAAGAAACCGGAAGGCAGCGAGATTATAACTAACTAAGCAAAGCAAGTATAGTGGCAATTGGGTGATCACAGTCGCCGGAGGTGGAGAGGGGATGGCATGGCGCTTGGGAAAGGAAATGGATGGACGACAAGCAAGCAAGCAAATTGCTTTGCTGCTGCGGCGGGGGGAAATCAATCATACGTATTGTAGTTAGTTATTGGCCAGCGAGTTAAGCGTCTAAGCACAAGTTGCGCCGAACGAACCCCTAGCGCTGCACCCTTATGTGGCTCTGTTCACACGAGTGATGAATCCTGTTGGTCTGGCGGTCCTTCGGATCATCCTGTTGGGTCCCGAAGCACACTTTCTCTTCGATTCTCATCACATTTTCGCCGGTCGGCTGGCGTCACATTGGATGGTTGCCGACGCACCATTCCATTCCATCCCCTGTCTTTTTTTCCTTACTCTCCCCTCTTTCTTTCTCTCCTTCGTACGTAGTTCCGTGACAGTTGCCGATCACAACGCTCCTGGTTGGCTCGGTTGCCAACTGTTGCTAGTAGCTCAGTACTAAGTAGTTACCGGGGGTGAATGCGTATCCGCCTATTGTGATAGTAGTTTCCCTCCGGAGAGAATATCCAGCCGCTGGCAGTCGTGGTTACTATCGTCTGTTAGCTAGCCTGCTGGCTAAGTATGTACCTATGGTCACTGCGAGCGCGAACTACTACTAGTAGTACTTTGTAAGCGGTTACATCCCCGTATGCACCAGTGATGCAGGCAGAGAGAGCATGGTGACCAGCCGAGTTGCAGTGCATGCCATGCCGCTCGGGAAAAGGCGTAGCGATAACATGGCATGTACGCGGTAAGTTCTGGATCCGTAACGGCTTGGAGATATATCATCCTGCATCTAGACTATGAAGTACTAGTTTGGCGCTGAGAGCTCAGCTGGATCCGATCCATAAGCGTTATGAACCTCCGGATAAACATTAAGTAAGACTAGGATGGATGGCCATTACCCCTCATTCATTCAGATAACTGGTGAGTGAAACTAGTGCCCCTGCATCAGAGCAGCATATTGGTCACTTTCCATCATCACATAGAGTACAAAGTAGCTAATAGATTAGGAAGGATATCCTCGGTTCTCTCACACAGCATCACGTGATACATGCGTACACAGCCGTAATGCCTAAGGCTACACTCACATGCCTTCAGGTCTGGTGTCTTGGCGCCAGGGCTGGATGCGACAGACTATTGCTACCACTACAGATGATCGTACTGCATTCTATGCAATAAGAGAAATGAGGTGGACACGTAACAGACTAGGTCCCGTCAAAAGTTGATACTCTCAGAGAGAGTAGAACAGCAAGTGCAGTGCCATTGATGCATTAGTACACTATCATACCAAAAAACACGATGAAAACAAATGCCAAGAAGCTTGATTTATCCGATTTCAATCTAACTCCTCAGCATCTATGGATACTACTAGACTAGATGCATCTTTAGCAAACGGATCAGTTGAGTTTAACCGTTTCAGATTTATGCAAAGGAACTTCCCTCCAACCCGTCAAAAGACATCAACCGGCGTGTAACGAGCGCACTGGGCACTCTGTGGCGCAAGCCCCATCCATTCAATTCCCGGAACGAAAAAAAGAAAAGCTTAGGGTTGACCGCAAACTCCACTTGCAAGTATGTAACTCCACTACTCTATTTGGTCTGCTTCTCCATACTATTCGGTATGTTCATTGCGAAGAATTATACCACCAGAACTGTGAGGATATGACACTTCTTTCACGGTTTTTTAATGATAACTATGTTCCTTCGATAGAAACAACAATCTCGGATAATTCCCTTGATGAATGCAGATGCAACGGTGTGAAGAAACCGGTTGCTGACTGTTTCACAGACAAACAAACAAGCGTAACAACAAAAAAGAAATGAAAAGACAATATCGCAGCATGACTAGTCAGATTTAAGCCTCCAGCAAATAGGAGTAAAATATCTCAAGCCAATCAAACCGCTTGGAAACACTCGGAGATATCCCCTAAAGTCATCAAACCTTGTCATCGGGAAGCTCCAGGATGGATTCCTCCCGTGGTCATCTGCAAGTTTCATAAACTCTGAATTCAGCCACAGGGTAACAGTTGGGCATTTTGACAGATTTTTTCCCGCCTTTCGCACGGTTTAAAAAAAAAAAAAAAAAAAAAAACTAGCATGGCAAGTAAGCACGGAAGAATGTCGATCAATCGGTCCGAGATCAAGAACAAGATAGAAAGTTTGTTCCTTGGTAGAAAAGTTCCGCTACTTCTTAGGGCTCTATACTAGAGAAGTAACCTAATGAACTGCAGCAATTCACGATATTGAGTAGGCCTCTTCAGGAAACGTCTTCCAAAAGAAAAAAGGGTTTCGAATCGCAGGCAAGTCGCGATGGAGCAAATGCCTTCGAATTAGGTAGCAGTGAGTCACCTTTCAAGCACAGTGTCTATATAAATGGCTCGAAACCCCCCCGTTGTGTACTTGGTGATCAGGTCAACTCTAGCCAAGCACAAGAGTACTACTACACGTCTTTACTATTCCTACTTCAGTGAAATACGAGAACGACAAACAAAGCTGCAGAAACACCAGGATCAGGTCACAACATCCCGGCAAGATGTTCGATAGTTTCAGCGGACGGTATGCCGATCAGTTGAAGTTAATTACGGATGCTCTGGACCAAGCTGGAATCAATAACGTACTTTGGGGCCACGTCATTGAGCAGTTCCTCAAAAAAAGTGTTTCGTGGGTAAGCACACTCCCCCGGTCTCTGACAATGGTCCCTGGTTTTCTTTTCTCTCTCTCTTTCTCTCTCTCTAACATAACTAATAGGGTATCGAATGCATCATCCACGATGGAATGGCCGAAAAAGCATGCCAGACCCTTCTGGCTGCGGGGCTCGAGGCATGCAAAAACGGGGAAGATTGTCCGGCGACGAGACATTGGCAAGATAGGCTGGACGCTGTAGCGCATGTGCACTTTGAAGCATTCACTTTAGGGTGTGATATACCTGTGGTGTTCTGGGAAAAGTCGTCTCTTCTTTGGGCGTTCCCCGACTTACCATCGTCTCCTCCTTCGTCGGATGATCCGTACTACATGCCAATCAGGATCCCATGGACCTACTACGATAGTAGGTCGCAGCGTCCTCCAATAGATTTGACTCCTGCAAGGATGATCAAACCAGTCAAGATTGTTGAAGCCCTGATATGGCTGATGTGTCGGGACCGGAATCCTAATGAGGGATTGGAATGGGGGTGGGAGCATCGGTGGCAGGAGGTCTTGGAATCCTGGGTGCAGAAAGCTCCAGGTCTTGCTGAGCATGGGCTTTTCTGCCGGAACGAATTGCGACCCGAATTTCTACCTCTTTGGGACTACCTCTGTGGTGGTGAAGGTGAACAGACCCCCAAGAAGCATCGTGCACACTATTTGGGGCTCCAAGCGAAGCTTCGTGCGGAAAATGCTCTTCCAAGCTCACCGCAACCAAAGAGAAGAACAATTGAGGAAATTGAACATCAAAAGTGGAAGGAGTATCAGAAGTTCGTCAAACGTTACAGTGGCAATACTCCTTGGATTGAAGAAGACTAATTCCGAGGTGGTACTACTTACTACGAATGCATTCTGTACTTTGTTCCCAACCCTATGGCATCTCCGCAACCCATGTCACACCATTCGTAATGAATCCTAAGTATTACATATAAGAATTTGTACCAGTTCCGGATGATTTGAACGTACTTTCATCGCGATGTAGTTCTAGCCTCCCCACGATAATTGTCATGAAACAGCTTTCCGGGTAGAGTTTCTCACACGGGGAAGTCGGAAAGGAAGCCGGGGGAGCTTCGGTTGGCATTGGTGTCAGAACACAAATGCAAAGGTACTAGATAGTAGAAAGCATACGGAGGATTTTCAGAATTTCACCACACGAGGCCCGAAGCTGATATGCATAAGAAGAGGCCTGGTCGTCCTCTTCTCTTTGAGCGATTAGAAAGATCTCAACATCGAACGATGACGCCAAACGCAGAAGAATACACTGCTTGGGAAGTGTGGACGCAGTGCGATCACACCATAGCGATCAGTATCATGCGCAGCAGACAACTTGATGATATCAAAATAGTCGTAATTGGTGCGCAGTCCATTAAGCACAATCTCCCGGCCCTGGCAGAACTGTATACAGTATGTATCCTTGACCGACTTATTCAACGCAACCCACCCATTCCTTACGAATTGAGCACTACCCCCTTTACACATTCAAAAACTCACTGACTCGTCCGATGAGCCGTACGAGGCCAACACGGTCTCTGTGGCAGTGTCAGGGCAGGGGTCGATTCCCCGGCAGTCTTGCTCACCAGCCGCGTTTTCCTCCCAAGTGGCACAGATCGCGTGTTATACAGAGACCCTTTCCGTGGACGCGACATTTTTGTCGAGTTTGTCCCAACTCCCGAGGTGAGTGACTACGCTCTCCGGCTATTCATGAGCGCTGGATGCATTTTATGTTTCTTTTCTTTCTTTTGGTACTATAGCTTTTGTATTTACCGGCCTCTGCCACAAGAGTCGCCGACTTAGGAAACAACGCATACAGTATCCCATGCTCATCTTTATTGGATGCGCTGATCGATTATTTCTGGCGCTCTTCCGACTGGTCGGCAACCACAGAATCAGATGATTTTCCGTATCGTCTGGTCGAGATGATCCCAAACTTTTCCAATAACATCCCCCTGGTAACCAATGCACAGAGACTTCTTGGGCGAATTGCACTGGCTCGCGCATATCAGAGGAATTGGGGACGGAGTTTGAGATGGTGGAGAAGGAGATTCGGTTTCAGCTATTAGCTAGTGATATGGGCTGATGAGTATTTCTATTTTGTTTGGTTGCTTTCGTTTATTTTTGGATGGGCGGTAATTTGTGCAGAAGCGACGGATCTTTGATTATTGAATTTGCTTGATATAATTTGTTCGGCTGGAGTCTTGTTAGTGAAGGGAGCTAAAAATTGATGTATTGAGTCTGTTAACTATTCATTTCGTTCAACAATCCCACGTCCTCTGGGATGGCCTGTCCGACCGGAGGTGTTGGTTGTTTCGGTTCTGGTCTGCTGATGGGAATTTTACCAGTCACATTTTGCGGCATCATGGTTCTGTATTCTGTAAAGTAAATTGCGAAGCCAAAAGTGAATTGATGAGTTGTCAGCTCTATGTCAGGGATGATCCTAGTAAATGGTAGATGGACGGAGGGGACGAGAGAGTGAAACAAGAACTTTCCATATGCTGCCCGACGAATGGAAGGATGGACAACGATCACCTGACACCGCTGGCATTGTCCAATCCGTGCTGTGTTCAGTTCTACGTGCAAGGGAATCAGGATGGGGTAGTGTCAATCTCAGATGTGACAGGAACACTTTTTGACCGGACTGGAGCAATCCGGCAAATAGACAGCATCAAGTTAGTACCGATAAAGTACTAGAAACACTAAGAGCTGTGAGTTAGATGGAATGAGTGGATGGGTGTTGAGAGAATGCCAGAATTCGAGCCTTTAGTACGCTGAAGAAAACAAAGTATATAGTGGTTGACAAGAATACCGAACACTGTCTATCTAGTATGTACACAATATGGCAGGCACCATTCTATCTATGCACAGTATGCGATGGTTGGTTTACAAGGACAAGCGCTGATGCGAAAGCATAATTGACGTGTCGACAGTTGCCCCATCAATAAAGTCATTCATGAGAACAATAGTCCTCTCGGCCCGAAGTCTATCCAGAGCATTCTTTCTAATCCAGGGCAAAGTTTGCATGTCAAGCATCCCCTTGGTCGACGTGAGACAAGAGCTAGCCGCTGCTGCAGAGAAGACGCTGTAGACAAGCACTTCCTTGATGGACTGGGAGGTCGCCTGGCATTGCAGGATGGTCAAGTCGGAGTCGGCCTGTCCCTCGGTAGTCATGGACTCAAAACGGTCAATTATCGAGTCGGCGCTCAGTGTTGCGTATGCTTCAGCGGTCCAGCTATCGTACTTGTCGGCTTCGATGACAACAATCAGACGAGTCCCCGTGCGGCGCAAATCCTCGATCGGTTGTTCAAAGCACTCGCGTGTTCCCCATGTGAGGGGGCTACGCACAGCCCTGGCACACGCCTCGTTAAACAGGTCTGAGATCTCGTCTTCTGTGGGCCGCTGGCAGTCTGCCACAATGTTATCCCATCGGATATGGATTGTGACAATCTCCGTTTGGTTCTCGTCCAGGAAGGCAACCTGCTCGCGGAGGAACTCGTCAAAGGCAATACCGGGGATGCACGCATGCTGGAAGTAGAAAGTGTCTCGTAGGGCAGACACTTTCTGAAACATGGGAAGGAGCTTAGCTGGACGAAACTCAAAGTACCGTGCGCCCATGGCCAGCATAGTCGAGACGGTTTTCTTTTGGGTGATGGAGAGGCCGTATACGATATGAGGTAGCTTCTTCATGAGGAAGTGGTCCGGGACGTGATTGACGTGCTCGAGCAGAGGAACAAGCCGGCGAACGACTGCCAGCATGTCCGAATCGAGATGCTGAAAGATGGCCTCGCATGCCGTCATCCCATTCATTCCATTGTCGTGCGGCGCAGCCAGCACGAAGCGCGAGAAGGGCTGCTGTGCAGCAGGGGATCCTGGAGGAGCCACACTTCCCATCCACTCCCGATTTTCTCTGGAGCAGATGGTCACATAACACTGATGGCGATCGGTGAGACCAACCTCGCCGTGACCCGCGGCATAGAAGCCATAAGTGATGATGGCGTCCTCTGTCACGATCGGGTGGAAGTCCTGTGTCGCGACCATCGTGCCTCCCTCGATCTTTCCCGTTAGACTGTTAACGTCGTTATGTGCGCCAGCCACCCGTTCTCCATAGCGAAAGACGGTCCATTCGAAGCGACCTGTGAAGTTGCCGAGCCCCTGAATGTGCGACGAGTCGATCTCGAGCTGACGGCTGGTAAAGTTGTGGGCCGCATCATGGAGCACTTCCTGCTGGGGCACAGCAAAGCCGACCTCGTAGCCCGGAACGCCGATGTAACTGTATACAGTGATGCCTTTGCTGGGCATAGTGAGTGGGCGGGTGGTGTTCTACCGAAGGTGACTGAGGGATGCTCGCCTTGGCGCATTGCCTTTCTGCAACTTGTCCCACTTGGATCGGTACTATTGAACTACTAGCCATATTGGGAAGCTCCCTGTTCCCGGCACATCGTGGGATCATCGGATATGATGATATGCCAGGGTGTCAGAGGTATGATATGTCTCGTGATTATATAGCCTGCTACGTAGTTGCCTCTTAATACATCGTACCCATTGATTAGAGTGTTGCATATCTATGGCCCTGGGATCCTCATGTTGTTACTCCGATTTCTATTGCCCATGTAGACGGCGTCCCCGTGAATTACGCTATGCGGTTAGTCTTTTGCCCTTTATGGCTTAGCGCTCCAATACCTTTTCAAGAGCCCTGCCCTTTCGACCTCTTGTCAATAGATGTTCATAATCACAGCATCGTACCATAGGCCAATAGCGAAAATGCCGCACATGCCCCTGGCCTCATCTGACAACCGATGCGAGACTCCGATTATTAACTACACAGCCCTACGCGCATACCAAGCGGCGAACGACCTAGTCACAAGGACGACTGGTGTAGGCATGCATCACAATAGTCATCAAAGGAACCAGGAATCGCAGACGATGAACTACAACTTGTGCTCATGGGTGTGTGAGGCGTGATGTCAGAACCCTTTTCATTACATGTGTTTTGTAAGACAAACATACCGGCTGAAGTGCTGATCTCAGTGATCATATTTTGTCAGCCTCAGATGTCTCCCAAATTTAGTTGGTGTCTTGATCAAGCTTTTTGAAGGCATGCCGACTTAATTCAGAAGAATCACTGAACTTTCCCGACACTACGCTTTCATGTAAATGCGAAGCAAATGACCTGCAAATCTCCATCGCCATTGCGATTCTCATGGCTCAATAAATCCGGACTCTATCTCGTTCAACCGATGTGTCCCCTTCCGCTGGTAAACCTATACTATTGGGGATTTGTCGATTGGGACGGATGTGATCGATATCTTTGCAGCGCCCCTCGCTAATTCGAGGGTCGTGTACATAGCTCTGGGAGTATCAGAGAACCTAGGGTGGAATCTGGGGTTGTGCAGCGCAAATTAAGAGCGAAATCAAGAGGAGATGCTAATAAAATCTTGTTCTCTGGTTAGATCATCCGAAAGAATCTCGACACCTGCAAGCCTGGGCACAAGACCCCTGAGATAGTCTTTGAGGCCCACCAAGGGGCTGCGGAAGTGCGGATGCCGATCTGTACTATCGGATGGCCACCCTCGGCAACCCGAGGGGGCCGGGCCGGCCCCGTGCACACCAAAGGGCACTGGACCTCCGGTGCCCCGGGGCCCGTGGAGTAGACCCTCTTAACAACCCTTCATATAATAATATTAAGATTTTATATACGTGGATTTTCGTTAATAACAAGTACCGAGCATGCTTAGAGCGCCGAATATTTGACACCTGCTAATGTATATCAGGGTCACTTTTCAATCCCCCATTATGATCCATCTCGATCAGCTGAACAAAACTGGTATTCGCATCGCGATTGTCAGTCCGAAGTTTCTTTTGGCTGCTTGGTAGTCCCATGCTGCTGGCCTCCTTTGTTGATCCGAACACAGAGGGGAATAGGCGACCGAGCAAGGATCGCAAAGCGGGTAGGCAGAGACACAAAATGCCCACATCGATTTCTATCACGGACCAATAGCCGCCAGCAGCCATGTCCCCTGTTGCTAAATTGTTAGATAGAGAATCTGGTGGGTGGAGGAAAGGATGTTTGGGGATATTACATGTTGCGTTCGTGCTTGTTGCGAAGATCTTGAGCATTATAGCGCGGTAGATGCCGACGCCTGTGATTCTTTTTGGATTAGTGTTAGTAGTTGAATAGTCCGACGCCGAAGAAAGGCTGGAAAATGAAAGCAGGAACTCACAAGAACCCCACAGAGAACATGAATGTGACTTGGAGTTTCGTACTGACTGATGCCTGGAGCTTCATCACTTTGGGTAAAGGGAGGGCAATAACCCAAGCGTCAAGTACGATATTCAATCCGGCGGCAGTAACCACTAAGGCGTTCGTCTTGACGCAAGAACCGTGGTGCTCTCCATCCCAGCTTGTCCAGTTATAGCTAATAGGCGTGCATTGAAACGCGAAGGCAAATATGAAAGTTAAAGCGTAGCAAACGGAGATGATGCAGGATGCTTTGATAACGCGGCGCATTCGATCACTCGGGAAGATGCGAAGATAGAAGAGGAGGAAACAGATCTTGATGAGGGCGACACATGTGGCATATAAAATTTCTTGGATATAGAAAAGCTAATGGATCTGGTCAGCAGATTGTCGATCCGCGTGTCGGTTGGAAACTCGTACGTAGAGGATTCGAGTGATGTTTTTGAACTCGAGGGTCCAAATATCCTTTCCCAGGCCTGCTTTTCCAACTGAACTCAATTGTTAGAAATGTCAATTTGTCAATGTGAGAGTCGGGGCAACTTACGCAATATAGAACCGGAATTGACGGGCACCGCACAACACTAGGAGAGTTAGATTTAAGGGTTTCGAACCTCAGAGAAGGAGGGTGCAATCTTACCGCGAGGAAAATAGTTGCCCAGTCATCCAAGCCCATCTCTAACTTCGTGATCACAAGGCGTGTATATAATCTCAATGCGACGAAGAACAGAAAGCATAGACCAACTGCTGGAACCAGTATGCTGATAGAAGTGCGGTCTCGAACTGGAACTCCGCATGTGGTATCTGTGACATTGAGCGTAGCTGCAAAATTGTGTTAAATCATGGGCGACTCGCATCTTCATCTATTATCTACTAGCCACTCACTGAGTCCCTCCTTGACAGTGCAGTTTGCCGAAACGCAGACATTCATCTGCTCCTTGAGCTCGACATTCGTACATATACATGTTTGGTTGGCAAGGGTACAGGATGACTGAGGGACAAGCTCAAGCATGCATTCTTCCTGTAGGCAATGTCGGTATAATGTTATGCGAAATAACAGCTCAATTACTTACAGCGCATGCTGGTAAAGACTGGGCTCCGGCCGATGCCAAGTCAGTCAATAATAATATTACGCAGGCTGAGAATAGAACCCCAAGTCGAAGAATTCGCATTCTGCTGCAATACTGCACGGCTGATGCTGAGTTCAAATGCAATCAAGCATGTGGTAGGAAGGCTGAGATGATTAGCGGCGAAAATGAAATTTGTGAGTGATGATGCATGAGCTACTATGGGCCTGTTCGCTTGTTGGAGGGTCTAGTGATTAAGCTAAGCTTTAGGTCTGCCCCTTAAATGAAAGGTATTTTAGGGCGCTTGCCACGACCAAAGCTAACTAGTACAATGTCAGTTAAGTGAGCCATGAAGCATCGAGGCCTCCACCAGTCATTGATCCAGATGCCGCGGGATTTGAGTCCCGCGGGCCGTCAGAGGTTAAAGTTCTCTAGTTGGCCATTACTTATTGACAGACATGACCAAGCGTGTTTCAAAAGCGAGAAAGAATCATCAATTCGTCTGAACTAGCGGTAGGAAAAAAGATAGAACAATCTGGTTCAGCGCTCTATTTCCAAGGCTCTGTTGCCTCCCAAACTGCTGGACATAACGGACATACAATAAATCAAAATTTGTAAAACGTTACAACACGTTGAGAGTACAAGAATGAGCAATTTTCGTCCGCTGTTAGCTTCCGTTCAATCAGCTATTATTTTTAGTACAGTAACATCATCGCAAATTGCTGGTAATTCCCATTAATGCGCCGATCAGGCACCTCCTAAGCACCAATAATATTGACATTGGCCTCGCAGATCAGGCTTAGTATCTCCCTGTTCCCACGACTCAGCGAAGGCAAAGGGTCCCTGAAGAAGCTCCCGTAGTGCGAAGGGAATTTCCGCACTGCTGGGCTCGTTGGTCTTGACAAATTCAACTGACAGAGGATTCGATCGGGTATTAATTTATGGCGAGAAGATCATAGAGGGTGTTCTGTCACTCTGTGTGCCCCTGACGGGTGCGGCCCGTTGCTAACCAGTGTTTGCTTATCAAGTACGTAAGTCTCTTTGAAGGATTCGCGCTAAGTGGAGGTTCTCTCATGTGGAGACACTGTCACACGCTTTCTGCCACTTGGATATCAGACAATGCTTTTTAGTTTCAACATGCACGGTGGCTAGTCTTAACTGGTCACTAGTTCACGGACCAGCGGGAGAACAAGGCCGTCTTCATTGGCCTTGGTGTACAAACTAAGCACACTATCTTGGGGCCAGGAAAACCGGTTCAATGAGTCTAGGTGCCTTTACATTTTAGGCAATTCCAGCCCGGTATCATTTTCATATGACCCACTCACCGGGGGGGAGCAAGGCCGAGACTTAGCGGCAATGCGAGGTATTTGAGGAGCAAGATGGCAATCTGGAGGTGTTCTTAGTTATGTTCAGCAAAAATCAGTCATTTTCATTGATTTTCTAACACAGGACTCGATATCTTGCACAGAATTAGTCATAAGACTGGGTTAAGCAAAATGGTCGTTTATAGATCACCAGTTACCCCAATTCACGATGCGACAAATTTGTCCATTCCGCAATTTATGACACAATATAACCCGGACGATGTAGATGCATCTAAGGCCGTTCATACTGATACATTCTCCGATGAAGCTCTCACGTATGGTGGTCTTCGCTATCAAGCTGCTCGTGCTGCTTGGGGCTTACAGAAGAGGCTGGGCCTACAACCTGGAAATACCTTACTTGCACTTGTTAACAATTCCGTAAGAGATCCATATGTGTCTATCTAGTATTCAGTCTGACTGGAATCGCAGAATGCCTTTGTTCTCCTCGCGCATGCCACATGGTGGACAGGCGCTATTTTCGCGTAAGTAGATGTCAGGTCGCATAATGGAGAACTAGGGTTAAGATTCCGATAGGCCATTGAATACAGCGGCAACCCACCAAGATATATTACATGTTCTCCAGATCGTGAAACCTACGCATGTAGTCACCATCGAGGAGAAGCTTAGCACTGT